TGCATAAAAGGAAAAAACTCGATAAAAAGAATGATTAAAAAACCCCCAAGATAATTTCATAAAGTCAGCTTGGTTCTTTAAGACTAAGCAGAATACATTTAGAAGCATTATTGCATAAAGTTTATACAGAACTTTTAGGTTCTTACCCCTACTTTTGTTGCCGTGACTTCACTTAGTATTGCTTTACTCCATCCCAATAATTTTCAAACATTTTCGTTAGTGCTTTTTTAATACAATTGACTATTCCTGAGCAGAGATGAAGAAAATAAAGGAAAATTTTCATGTGGAGTAGAGCTGCACCAAGTCCATATTAATATATTTTTTGAAAATAACTTTGAATCATCAATCTACACCAAGCATATGAAAAGTTGGTGTTCCGCAGCATTTGTGACAGACTATATTACTGTCTTCATGACATTAGAGTCTGCTGATATTGCATCAATTTAAATAAAATAAACTACTCACAGTTGATAATGCACTTAAAAATTTAAACATCAACCCTTGACATGCAAAATTATAGATAGTTGGTATTGTGACAATCATTTAGCAAATGAAAATGGCTGCTCTCATTGATCCTATAATAAAAAAAGATCAAGGTAAGAATTTATAAATGAGAACTCATAAAAGAGAACAGAAAAGTCAAACATAAATTCTTCTGTCTGGTAACTGATGGCTGACCTTTTGTCCACTGTTCATAAAGCCCATGTAAAGTTCACCACAGTCTAACTTAAAGACGCAAAAAAGCATAAAAGTCGCCTATGTCAAGTACAGACTTTGCTTAGAGATAAACTCATCTCCACTCTTATTGTATGGTGGTGTTAATACATACTAACTGTTAAGGTGATACTGGGGAACTAATTAACCTTACATTGGGTTATGAATGAGGCCCCAGGTATGAAAAAAACACTTTAATTAGCCCCACAAGTCTTTACTGCGGCTGCACTGAGGGTTTGAATGTCTGCACTTACTAATTTTCTCAGTGACAGCAATTTTGCAGGTAATTCAGAGAAGAAAGACTGTGTTTTGTTTTCACATTTTAAGTACAGGATGCAATGGACATGATAAAAACAGATGTGCTGATGTGTCACAGTTAGCACAACCTGAAGTAAAAAATGAATTTAAATTTCAGGTTCTTTGATTTAGCTAAATGGTGATATGTCCAAATATCTCTTAGTTATGTGAAATTGTTGCAACAAACTTTGTTCAAATTTTCAGCTGCTAAAAATGGCTGTACAACATTACACAAATTAGTCGCCAAAGGCTTTCACTACCCGACAGTGGCGACTAATAATAAAGATGGTGCAGGCACCGCACGGTGGAGGAGGAGTTACGTGACCCACAGGGAGCATAAAGCAGAGAGCATCTGTCCAAACGGTAAGTTAACTGAGTTTACTTTAAAGTTCACTAATGTATTCCCCGCTCTATATAGTGATTGAGAGCTTTAAGGGTTAGGGATGACGTTAGGACACAGTAAGCTTGTATGACCTACGAGAACAGAAACTTTTAAAAAGAGTGTGCACGCATAGAAATGCACTTGTGCATGCTATCACACACATTTAATAGGCATTCCCTATATTTAATAGATGTCTTTTAAAAAAATTCACAAATATTCTCCACAGTACTATGATGTATAGATTCTAGCTTACAAAAAACAACAACAAAAAACAACCCTAACCCTATATCTTAAGTAAATTCAAACTTCTTTTCAAACTATAGTTGTTTTACCTCTATAAAGCTTTGTTCCAGTGGATTAAATGATAGCATACATTCACAAAAGAAGAATGAACTTCCTGCGCTGTCTAACGCAATAAACTAATTTCATGATGCCGGATGAAAATAAAATGCTAAAACTGACAGCCAGGTTCAACACCTGAAGGGCAACAGATGCATCACTGTGATTTTCACAACCATATATTACATCCCAGCACAGAGATGTGTAGAGTAACAGCCACGGATGGCTGATCCTCTGCATAATATGTTCCCGGTATGTTTTTCCACCAAAACACATTACAGGGCTATGTCACTCAGTGCAGAGATCCATCATGTTCATCAGTCACAGTAATCACTCTTGGAAATTACGTCCTTTAGAGAGCCTGCATCTCACGCTGGCTGTTTCGGACATATAGGCAATAAAAGGCGACTGCGTCAAGTGCGGTTGCTGGTAATTGATACAAGCTGTGAGATGAAGAACTTTCAATATGAAAAAGAGTGAAACAGGAACAGATGATCCCTCACAGGCCTGACATTCCAACCATGCTGCGGAGGCCATAAAACACAAATTGGTACCTGAATATTTCCTTGAGAATGTCATGGGTTTAAATAAAAATGTCCTTGGCCCACTAAGGCTGGGTGATGAAGGATGATGATGACCCCCCTTCTCTGTTAGTTGGTCACGTCACCTTCAGCTGATTAACCATGTTGACATTATGCCTCCACTAATTAATCACAAACTTTATCTGTATGCTGATGTTAGATATGAAAACTGGTATCTAGATAAGTGCCAAACACCAAACTGTTTTTGGCACAACAAGGCTCAACATCCAGATAAGATCAGCGTAATAATTAACCTACAAGCATCAGATGATGTATGGGTATGAGCCTGCCATGTCCCTGCCCTTCAGAGAATAATACTTCACCACTGTTCCATCTGAGCACAGCTCTGTCTGTTAGAGTTATATTCAGCGCCGGAGATGTTTCAGTCATTACTATTCCCATCACAGTTCAAACAGGTTCCTTCAGATAGGCAGAGATGAGGGGAAGCTCTGAACTCCTAACCTTTCATTCCCATTCTTACAGGGCTGTCATCGCTCTCATGTTTTCATACCAATAAACCGCCTCGGTTATAACACAAAAATATCTGGAGAGGTGACTCGAGGCTTGACCTTTCTAAGCTAGCAGTAAAACAGTAGAACATAAACCCTCATCAATCAGCCAGAAACAGCTCTGACATTTTAAAACCACGTCAGATGTTCTTAGAGAAAGCACTTTTAAAGGAATATTTTCGTGTCTCGTTTCTATAAAGATTTGCCAATCTGTGTAAAGCCAAGTTTGCAAAAGGCTTTGGCAGAGAAATGCTTTAGAAATACTGTCAGCTTTAGTAAAACAGACTGTGAATGGCCTTGGCTCACGGTGGATAGTCACAGGCTCTAAAACTGAAGAATATGAGCTAAAAAAGGTGATCTAGATATATTCATTTTTAATAATGTTTTACATTGCTTTAATATATGATCAAAATGCTGAAACAATGAGTTACAAACTCTTCAAAACCATCGGTTATACAATGTATGAAATAGTCATTTGTAAACACACCTCGCATTGCCTTAAAAATGTCAGACATTGTTGTAGGGAAATTGTAGGTGACTTTTTATTTACATTATCTTAGGGTTACATTATCTGAGGGTTATAGATGGTTCTTGTAGTCTGGGCTTTGACTCAGTCATCAGTGAATACTTCCTCCTATTTTTAACCATTCTGTTAGGATTTGTTTGATATTTCATCACCAAGTTTATTCAGCTATTAGAAAAATGGGCAAATTTTTTTTTTTACCCTAGTCCATTTTTGCTCAATGACTACAAGGTATCAAAATCCAGTGGGTGCAAATCTTCACTCCACCACCACCGTGCTTTAGAGTTGGTATGAGCTGTTTTATTGTTGATGTGCTCTATTTGGTTTTGACCAACCATATTCCAAGCTTTACAAGCAATCATCTTTTCTTTATAGTCTAATCTCTAATCTTCGTTTAAAGGAAGATACCAGAAGTCTTTTTTTTGCATTCAGAAGTAACCTTGTAAAGCAAACATGTTCTTTTTTTAAGATTGAAGATAATATATTTTTACAGTGCCGACTTGGTCAAACAGGTCAAACTGTGTTTCCATGTTTTCTTAAGTTCTGGGCCATTGCAACATCGTCATCCATCAAGCTTCTCCTTTTTTGTAAAATCTCTCCAAAAGGAACATTTTACAGCAGTCATTTGGTCCATTTAGATAAAAGGATGCAAAGCTAGGAGAAGAGAAGACTTCTAGCTACTGTTCAAATCATCATATTCTGGTTCATTTTCTGGTATTTAAATAAAAAATAATTTTCTCTGCAAAATGTTTTTTTTTTTAACCATTCCAGCAGTATTGCTTTTCCTAAAGTAAATTTACAGGGAGCATTGGAATCTATTGTGATTTATTTCTAAAAGGGTCACTCCAGGAAGATGCCTGTGCAAATTCTCAGTCATATGGGAGATGGTAACCACATAGTACATGCATAAGTCAGAGATGTTTACTAGGTTTTTCCAAAGATGTTTAGACCCTTATCCATCTGTCTTTGTCAACTCTGGCGGCTCCCACTTCAGTAACCCTTAGTTGGAGCGCTGCTGTCTTTAAGCACATAGAGGACCATCCTCCAAGGTACATAACATGTTAGAGTTAACCTGATTGAACAAAAGTCTTGTTGCCTTCAAATTAAGCCTGTTTGTGACTCCGTGAGGATGGACTGTCTTCACCTGACAATCCTTCCCAGACTGATGTGTAACAAATGTTGTGCTGAGTTCATTGCTGATGTCTTTAAGCCTTGCACATAAACCTCCAACACCAGACAAGCAGATGTACAGCTCTTATAGAGGCTACTTCCTAGTGCTTTTTAAAATATTTTTTTTTATCGTAAACCTGCTTATGCATCTCCACTTATTTCTAAGGGGAGAAATATTTGAGGTTATATTTAAATTGAGTTCTCCTGTTGTTTTGATTAGCATTTTGTCGAGGAAATGATAAAACAAGAGCGTGTGCTGCTATAATGCTGGGGTTCGTTTGCCATACCCTGAACAAAATGGTGTCCTTTATATTATTCCTGATAAAACTTTTAAATTAAAAGCTTAAATCAAACGTTAATAAGATTATTATCTACCAGTCATTTCTGACTGAGAAAGCCAGCAAATCAAGAACTGTCAAAGCATTTCTTCGAGAGCCAGGCTATGAAAACTAGACTGGAAAAAAGAGCATTCTTCTAATACTCACATGCCAGGAAACAGTCCATGCTGAAAGAGATGTTGTCGACGGAACTGGCTGAACCGGGTCCAGCTCCATCTTCTGCACTGAACTGGAGCCAAAACCTGAGAAGAGAGAAAAGAAAAATATTATCAACCAAAACAACTATCAAAAGGTTGGAAAGCCCCTAGATGGACAATGTGTCTTAGGTGATACCTGGATGTAGACAGAATGCTATCTGTCTTCTCATTTTTTATTTACAACTTAATAATTTATTTTTTAAATTTACATATAAACTCTGATGAATTTCAAAGTGAGCCTATTATTGGCATTACAATGCAGATATAGATGCACTTCTTTAGACTTCAGTTTAAAGTTATAAAGTATTTAACATTTTCAATCCTGAAGAGTTTATATTACCAAATTAGGTTTGTTAGTCTTTTTTATTAGTCATAACCTGGTATTTTAGAAATACAATATTCTGTTATTTTCTTTAAATTCATGTTTATTCCTTTTTTAGGGGACAAACTATATAATATAACTATATATGAACTATATATATATATAAAAAGAGCTCATCCTAACCCCTTTTTAAACCTATTTTTTCTCATGAGGGTACCCACGAAAATTTGACTTATGTGTATTCATATTTACGTGCTCTGTCTTCATTACATGATAGTATTTATTACATCATAGTGGATGTTTGTGTCACAGGTTATTAAACTCTTGAGTGATGGGAGCTGACAGCACCATGATGCCATCATCAACAAAACGTGAAGGTAGAAAAAACTGCACAGCTATTAACAGCAGCTGTTTGCAAAGCAATGCTGCTGCTGTCTAGTGGGAACCCTGGTGATGACGTAAAAGTCGGATAAAACAAGACATGACATCAGACGCTACTGGATACATATCAGATTTAGAACCAACTATGAAAGTGGCTCAAATCACATATATTGGAGGGTGAAAAGAACAAAATAGGGATGCTCATTTTGCTGTGAAAAATTCAGATATGATTCACATTAGTATTGCACAGATATCGATACCAGTATCGGGCGGGGCCCCGATCCAGCACTAAAATGGGGGTGTCGATATGGGCGAGTACCAACAAATAGGGCACCAATACCCTTTTGAGAGCCAAAGGTTTATTCAACTATTGTCAACCATTTCAGGTAGGCAATAAAACGTTCTACTGGATTCACTTTGTATTAGTCTTTTTCCTGCTTCACAATGGTAGGCAGCAGCTTGCCATGATGGCAATTATTTTACATCTAAGTAATATGCAGTTCTTCATACATATACACACACATCAATCAATTTATCGGGGCCAAAAAATGGCATTGGCACAACACTAATTCACATATAGGCAAAAGACGTGATGGTGGCTTTTCTTGCAGTTGACTGTAGCCTAAGAATCAGACATGTGTTTAGCTGCCAGGATGAACGCCACTGGGTTAGGAGACCTTCTGTCCTTATAATAATAATAAAAAAATCTGGTTTAAATAGGGTTATGTTTAGGGTTAGATTAGCTAAAGCATTTCTAATTATGGCACATTACAAATTTCAACAGGAAGTTGTGGACATTTAGTCATTTGGTTCTGTAAAACCCCTCTGGATCATTCTGATTGCCTGTTTTAGGGAAGGAGCAGCTCTTAATGGATTTGGTCTATGGGTTCTAGCCAGCTACAAAGGCTACTCAGCTGACTGATTCACGGAGTGAAGTGGGATAAGACATCCTAACGGAAGCTGTAGCTGCTAGAATAACCTCAACATAAGCTGTAAACGATTTTCTAAAACACTATTCTGAATAATATAAATTAGGTTTAAACATTTATGGATAAGTTAGATGAAGTGTTCCTGCACTAGTTAAGAATCCAAACAGAACATCAGAAAAAAGCACAGTGAAATTAATGAAAATGAAGACTAGTCAATATTTCAATATTTTATTTCATTAAATGCTTTTGTGTATCAGAGGCTCTAGTTTGTCAGACAGAGAAGCATTACTGCAGCACTGTCTGTAATCCCCGTGGAATATGTGGAAACCAAAACTAACAACTTGTTGCCAAAGCTTTTTTTTTATTGTGAGGTTCATGCTAACCTCTGCACACCTCTGACAGGCTGTACATAATTCGCTGACTGTCTTGAAGAGACATTTTGAGTTGCATCCAATTTAGTTCTGGTGAGATCCAATGCAAGAAACCACTAAAACCCCTGTGCCAGATAAGCCACATAGCAGCGCTGCTATGACGCTGAGAAGGGAAGCTGCAGGACCAAGGCCTGTCAACTTAGAGGTGACAAAACAAGATCAGGACCTCAAACTGTGCTTACTGTATTCTTCCGAGTCTGTTCCAACCGAGATACTAATGAACCTACATTTCTAGCATTCTTTCTCTCAGACATTTTCCCTTAAAGGTCTGATTTATTTATTTCACAACTGAAGACAAAAGACCTTTCTTCAATCTCTTGAAAGAGAAAAAGAACATCAAGAATTAAAGAAACATCTTTTTAGCTTGAATATTAAAATATTGAATTGTATTGAATAGAAAAAAAATGTTGTTCTTAGAGTTTCCTCTTAATCTTAGCATTAGAGATGTAGGATTACTGTTAGAGTCCAAATACTTTTTTGTTTGTGTTTTACTCAATAAAATCAAAAATTAGAATGATTAGTGAGAAATATAACGTTTGATCAACTTGCCAATATTTTGACTGCTAATATTAATTATTGTTTGGATAAATGTCCAGATTCTATAAAGAGTGCTCAGTGAAGAGGAAAAAAGATGTATTATTTTTTAATGCTGTTAACATCTTAGTTGATAGCAGTTTAATACCAAAATTGTTAGATTCAGCAGACCAGCTGCTGATTCTTGACTTTTATCTACACTTTAGGCAGCATTTCTGTTTCTATTTAAGCTTCTACAAAGGTCACTGAGCAAAGTCTTGGAGGCTCACCCACTGCTTATGGACATGACATTCAAATCAAAAGCACAAGCACAGCTGACTACATAACTCAGGAATCAAAAATTAATCACTCTCCGAGGAGCAGGATTATTCAAGCTCGAAAGAAAGCCTCAGTTAAGAAAACAAAGATGAAATGCCCTTTTCAGTGGGGCCTCTATGTTTTATCTTTCTCTTATTTTGGAAGGAATCAAGGCCATAGTTAATTGTAAGTCAAACAGAGTTAGATTCTATTCCCTTTGTCACAGACAAGTTTAAATAATAGAGGGGATAGGATATTTTTTTACATTTGTAGTCACTGGAAAGTCCATTATGGAGGCCCCAATGGGATTTATTAGTTTTTCTGGAGTCAAAGGGAAGCGGTTCCAGAAAAAAAAGAAAGGACATTTCACCAGCAGGTGTATAAGGAAGTGGTAAATATTTTTGTCACTGTGTCAGACGCTTGTTTGAATGAGATTTAGATGACTTATCTGCTCCTAAGCATTTAAAGTGAAGCTGACAGTTTGACGCCTGCAGACAATCTAAACATACTGCTTTGTTGCAATCACAACTGTCTGTCATGAGGTGAAACAGGTGAGCGTACCAGTCTGCCAGCCCGTAAAGAGGAAGTGTGATGAGCCTCCAGCCTCTTTCGGATCGGGGCTCGCTGGCTGAGTGCCACAGCCTGCGCTGCTCGTCTGGGCCTGTGCTGTTCTCCACTATCCACAGGGATAATGAATCCCTCTGTGAGCCTCCAGAGCAGAACCAGAACCTCACCTGTAGAAGAGAAGGAACAGTTTGCAGCTCAGTTTGGGTTTTTCAGGAATTTCCCCAAACACTGGATGTCTCATAGATTACAGTCAATTACAATGTTTTCATTGCACAAAAACACTCCTTCATCTCAGGTTTTATTTCTTCTCTAAATTTATTTTTAAAAAATACACAAAAAACATATTACACACAATTATTTAATAACCAAAGGGAGGGACAAAATGTATGATTAAACCAATTACCTCCCCTAAATTACCGGTATTAAGACCAAACATGAGCACCAAGACATTTTTTACTCTTCTTTCTAATGTTAAATTTGTTTATAACTGAAAAAAATATATTTTTTTGCACAGATGAAAGAGGCACTGTATTTTTCTAATCTTGAGGCTAGTAAAACCCCTGTGCTTATAGTTAATATAAAACCTTTCAAATAGTTTGTTATACAAGAGGAGGCTTTCTTCTTGCAACCTAAAAGCCATGCTTATTTAGTCTTTTTATTTGAAAAATCAATACTGAAACTTAGGTGAGCAGAGGCAGAGAAGTTGTGAAACTGAAATTTCCCTCTCCTCAGATACACTCTATTAGGGGGCACATTATTCCTAGCTTAAAGGGAGATATAGTCCCTCTAACAAGTTCTGGTTTCGCCTTTATGTCTTCTCATCATATGCCTGAACTCCCTCGGCTGACTCCATGCAATGGTGCAGCGAACCTCAAACTTTGTGAGGAAGAATGAGCTCATCCTTGTTGTTAATGATGAGTCCAGTCTACAGCCTTATCTGCTGTCTTTTTCTTGCAGTCATGACTCATACATCCCAGGACAATATGGGAACCTCATGTTTGCACTTTATATGTGTTCAGATCATGACCTTCGGCCTGCACTGCAGCGGTCTGAGGCAGAGTGTAGTGGGACTGGGATGGGAATGAGTTATTTGGAAGAGTTTAGGTCTCTTATGTTTTTTTTTTTATGTATTGCATGGATTGATTTGGACCCTGCTGTACTAAAATAGAAACTTCCCTGATATGTCATGGCAACAACTAATTAACGAATAAAGGTCTCAGTTTAAAAGTTATATCTATGCTCTAACCGTCACTTTGAATTCTGTTGTAAATATTTATGCTTGTCATCCTTTATGTGGGATAATAGCTTCAGATAGTTTAAGGATTCCCTTTGATTCCCTTTGAAAATAGGTTAGTATGTAAAAAATGCACATCTGGCTTTAACTTTGCTTGAGAAGTAATGCTTGGAATTTGCTGTATATTTTTATTTACTTGGGGTTCAATGTAAGTAATGTTATGACCTGATAAAGGTAATATGAAACTTTATACAAAGAATGAAAGTAAAAGTAACTCTAAGTTATATAATTTTATAAAGAGCCTTATAATTTTAGTGAAATCTAAGTTGTTTTTCTTATTTTACCGTCAGATGATAAACGTTTTTCAACAAAGCACCTTAGGATGTAAGAGAGCTCCTAATGGAAAAATGCTGAGTTTTGTAAAGGACTTAGAGTTTCTGATGCAGAGAGGATACCAGCAACAGAGAGAGCTGATTGGCTGAGCCACAACTTGAATAGGTCCTAAATAAGGTCAAACTGCCTTAAAAATACTACAATTATGAATATTTAGATAAAGGGGAGATAAATTTAATCATCTGGACAGGTTAAATATGCAACTAGGGTAAAATAATATTAGGATAATAATAAAAAACAATACGACAAACAAAAGAAAAAAACTATGTAATACAGAAGAAGGCTCTGTATTAGTCTAACAGGATTGAATGTCCTCAATGATAAACATTTAAATGAAATGGGAAAGAAGATTTGCTGCTTTAAATCATCTTAATCATTTTAATATAAACAGTCATTAAGAGATTCTCTTGTGATGGCAACTCCTCTCCAGCCTTTGGATGCTGCAGGTAACGTTTCTCACTTTCCAGGCTGGTGCACAAAAGCAGAGAAACCGATGCATCGGAAATTTACCTTAAAGTCCATGTCTTCACACCTGTATTCCATTTACCTGCCAACATTCCTCTATTCTCTAAGAGCTGTGTGTGCAGAAGTGTTGCTCCTCTTTCCAGAATTGCCAAACAGAAGTGTCTCAAATAAGCAGGCAATAACAGCACAATGCTGACTGATGAGTCTAAATCACTAACAAATAGATGAGGTAGTAAAATGACTAACAATGCGGGTAACCAAACAATTCAAAATAATGATAAGGATGTGAATAAAGGATAACCTCACTTTGGTATGCATCATCATTAAGTGACTCATTTCTTAATCCATTACTAAAATCTATATCGGTTAATATCTCTTCATTGATTATTAGCAACACCTTGGTGGGTTTTTTGTACCAGCCAATCACAGCTCCTAGATGATAGCATTACTCTTAGGAATGGGGTCAAGCACACATCCAAAGTGAGGAATTTCTGTGAGGGCTTTAAGTCTATTTAAAGCTAGAATTCCTTAGCAGGAATGTTTAGGCTTTGATAGGAGCTCTGTGAGAAGAATCCAACTATTTTTTCTAATTTGGGACCAGCTCATTTTTCCTTACATATTAAAGTTTAGTAGTAAAAGAAGGTTTAGTTTCTTTTTCACATTTATCTAAGTAAATGGGATGAATCTAAAGCTACAATGAGATTACAGGATTCCCTTCCACACACGGAGGGCCTTTTACTGGTTAAATAAAGGTGAAATGAAACGTATTAATCAAAGCTCACTGTACAGTACAAATATTTCTAACATCAACACATTCAACCTGGATTTTTAAGTGGATTTTCTTATCACTGGGAAATTGCACGACTTAGCATTATCAAAAAAAAAATAGCTTTGGCCAAATTGAGTCTAAACTAATTTAGGAATAAGTTAACAAATTTTTCACAGGACTTAAACTGTGATAGTTACATTTCAAGCCTGTTCCTATTTTTGTTTCAGATCCAGGAAAATATTTTTATTTCACTCTTTAATTAGAACAGACTGCTTTAAGCCTGCTTAGTAAAATCACTTCTTTCAGGCTGAGTTTTTGCATTTCACTTGTCGATAGTGATGCATTGTGATGACATGAAGGTAAGAGCTCTGCCACAGCATGGCGATTTAGACAGCGTATGCCTGACCTCCCAGAGTCTTCTGAAAAGCGACAGTGGCGTTGGAAGTAGGAGTTTGCCTTGAAATCGAAGGATTGAAGGTACAAGCCCCGACTCCGACTTTCAGTGTTGTTGTGTCCTTCGGCAAGACACTTCACCAGCATTGTCTACTGATGGTGGTCAGAGGGCCCGGTGGCGCCAGTGTACGGCAGCCCCGCTTCTGTCAGTGAGCCCCAGGGCAGCTGTGGCTACAATGTAGCTTGCCACCATCAGTGTGTGAGTGTGTGTGTGAATGGGTGAATGAATGTAGTGTAAAGCTCTTTGGTCAAGTCTCCTGACTTGAATAAAGGTGCTATATAAGTACATGCCATTTACCATTTACCAAAGCTGGCATATGCTGAACTTTATATGCATTTTTTCAACTTTGGACGTATACATAGCATACTCATAACAAGTCCAGAACTTATGTCCAACGACAGCCTAACTTATGCATAACGCATGGCACCGTAATGCCCATAAATGATGGACAAGCATCATTTCATGGGCATTATGGAGCATCAGTTAAAGCTGCTCATTAGGGGAACAGCAATGCGCCTGGAGGCACCCGGTCTACATAGAGATATGTCTAATTGCGCTATTAACCTCCCTGCTGTTTAGAAATAATAGAAAAAGAAAGAAAAAAGGTTTGGAGCCGCAGAAGATTCAACGTCATGTCTGCTAGGAAGTTTGTTGGTGACTGTGGGCGTGAATGCAGGGAGGATCAATCACACTCACCTTATTGCTCACCCTATACCTATAATGAGCATGAAGTCTGAAGGAGTACTGAGGGTTTTCTCCTGTGAACCCCCTATTATACCATAACGCTGCCGATACCCCATTATACAGTACCCGGAAGTTAGAAACATGTTCAGTGATCGTCTGGAACACGTCAAATACGCTGATATATGTTGGAGATAAATTCTTGATAAGTTATGAATAAGTTATGCACACGTTACTCATGGGTTTTGGATAAGCTGGACACCACAACTTCTGAGTTGTCCTTTTCCTTTGCTGTTTAATACTCAGATTTAGTCATTCAGATTAAATAATTCTAGCTGGATATGCAATTATTTCTAGAAAAAACAAACAAACAATAAAGGCATTTTTTGGATAATATCTGAAGCTTAAATCAGCAAACAGCTGACCTGTTAGCAGTGAAGGGTCATTTATGGCATTGTTTGTTCATAAAAGATTTGTTTAAAGCATAATTTGTTCACTGCTGCACCCTAAATGCACCAGGGAGCGTTACCAAAGATCCTTCCTATCAGCAGCCCTAAGACTTTATAACCATCACTGTTCCCAAAAACCTCAATAAGTTGTTACATTCATGCTGATTTTGCACAGTTTCTACCTTAGTCAGTTATATAACATGGTGCTGTTATTTTGCACATCTCTGATGTTGCTGCTATTTTCAAATATCCATTACTGCAAAAATGTCCATAGCTGTATATTGTTTATCTATTCTGCAGGTGCACAATATTTATATTGTTAAAACACTTTTCAGTACAGTATTTTATTTGTTTATTTTTTATCTCTTCATTATTATGTATTCTTATACACTTTTCTAAGGTACAAATTTGTGTGACCATTTTTTCTATAATCTTTTTGCTGCTGTAAACATCAGAATTCCCCTATTGTTGGAGAATAAAATGGCTTTCTATTGTATGCTAAATTCTGACTTTAACAGCAACTATTCAAGTTGATCATGTTTTCTCCTCTGTTTCTGTCTTCGGGAGTGAGGATCAATACAATGACATTCAACTATTTTTGAGAAATGATTTGGGAGTTTGGAAGAAACTGATTCTTTTTTTACCACCTTTGTATTTTCTCTGAATCAAGTATTGTACAGAATTTAAGGACTAGAGAACTGCATCACTCCTTGGCCTTGTATTTGGCTTTACTGTCCCTCAGACACTTTTCCATGTCTGAAAAGTTGACTAATTTAATCTTCAATCACATTGTGAGTCACATTGGAGTCAGATGGGATGGCCTTTTTTGCTCAAGAAAGGAAGAAAAAGTGATGAAAGTTTCACGGAATGGTAAAATAGTCTCTGAATCCCCCAATGGCTTGATGCAGGGCCTCTGGCTCATTTCGCTTTCCCATTTTGAGTGGCTCTGTGCAATCATTAACATGACCCTGCTACGATTCTGTCCAATCAGAGGTCACTAAGTTCACCAACATCCTTCCCTTTTCACCATACTTTCTCTCTCACACATACATTCTGATACAGCAAAGATAAAATAGAAGTTTTTCCAGTTGGAGTGAGAGAATGGTAAATGCCTGCACAGCCCCTCCTTGTTAGCACAAACACAAGTATTGACTATTAAAGAATTGATTAGACATGTTTTTTTTCCACAGAAACTAGAAAAAGTAATGGATAAAGTTTTGAGTTTTAATACTGTATAAACCACTAATGTAAAGTAGATACAACATGGACTCACCGTGCATGGAGAGTTTCTCAGAGGAGGAGGGAAGAGTGGGCTCTTCAGCAGCGCTGAGCTACGCTGACCTTTGGACTGGCTTCTCTCAGTTGTGAATGTTGCCCCTTTGCAAAAAAAAAAATAAAAAATTAAGACATGGATAGAGAAATAGCATATAGACAGTCAATCTAAAAAAAATGAAAACTAGATATTTTTATATGTGGGTTTAAATAATTTTTGCTTTCACAAAACCCCTCTAAGTTTATGTGTTTTAATAATCTCTCTATGCTTTTGTGGACCTCTGATTAAGCTAAAGTGCCTTAATCAGAAACCTTGAGAATGATTGAAATAACTGCCACAGCGAGGTTGAATACAATAGATTTATTTACTCCAAAGAAATCAAATATATTTTCAGCAAGCTGAGGCGGACATTCTGCAGCCTCTTAAACCCAGTGGGATTCTGTTTGTTCCAGTGCTCTGACCTCTGATCAAGGCAAGATATTGTGTCTGGTACATCTGCAGTCTCAGTTGTTCCAAATTCACAAAGTCAGTATGTTCAAGGTTAGCTTGTGTTGTTTTCAAGTTTTAAATTATCAGGTTTCCACTGTTTGAAGTCCATCTCTATAAGGCTGAGCTACACTTCTAAGAGCCTGCAAATTAATGTTAATATCAGATGAGGGACACGTGTGATACAGACCTGATGAGGGGCAGCTCTGTCTGCTTCCTTTGAATGGAGATCTTCTCCAGGAAAGACTGCGGCCTGGAACTGACTGCCAGCTGCAATCGCCCTCTTCAAAAGAGCAGTAGCTACCATTAAGAAAGCGCCCTGGAAAGAGATACAAGAGAATACTTTATTGATTTATATATATATATATATATATGATGAAAGAAGAAAGCTGACTTATCACAGCCAGACATCCAAAGGGAGAATGAACAGGGACCGGTGATCAAGCAGTTTAGTGACATGTTAAAGTAAAAAAAAATAAGTGCAAAAAGGGTGCACAGTAACTGCTGAAAGGATCTGATGTGGTGATGAAACCTGGGAATGTAGTGTAGTCCTCAGACTACTCAACACAAAGTGGTAGATTAAGAGGTATAAAGCTAGACTGCCTGGGAGGAAATGAGATATCATGACATAATGTCTTTTGTGCAATACGACAAGGATCTGAAGAATCTGACTTACTGAGATTTCATGACAAAGCTGGGAATTTGACGTATTAGTAGTCTCTGAGAAAAGATGCCGAATATCTGAAATTTCATGGCTGTTAAACAGACTTACTGGACACAAGCAGCTCAAGCGATTTTAATAACGGAACCCTTGTTTAGAATAGTATGAACATGAGTAGGCACTGTCACACCTTAACGATTTAGCAAGTGTATGCCTGATGTCCCAGAATCTACTAAAACGCTTTTTTTCAATTTTGGCCATATACTTAGAGTATTCATAAGTCCAGAGCATATGTCCAACAACAGCCTAACTTACTGTATCCATAACGGACGGCAGCGTGACGCCCATGAAATGTCATAAGCCAGTGTCTTGAGGGGGGCAGCAATGTGCATGGAGGCGCCCAACCTGCATACAAAGATATCTTTGACCGTGGTATTAACCTAGCTGCTGTTTACTGCCCACCAAAGGAAAAAAAAATAAAAATAGAAAACAAAAGAAAGAATGTTTGCAGTCGAAGCAGATTCAGCATCATGTCTGCCAGGAAGTTTTTTGGCAGTGGGCGTGGGGATGACACAGGGAGGATCCATCACACTCACCTTGTTCACCCTATGAAGGGGCTGAAGTCTGGAGGAGTACCGATGATTTCCTCCTGTGAAACCCCTTTTATACCAAAACACTGCCAATATGCCATAATACAGTAGCTGGGATCTATAAACACATTCAGCGGTTGTCTGGAGCACGTCAAATATGTTGATATGCATTGGATATAACTTCTTGATAAATTACAAATAATTTATGTACATGTTATTCATAGGTTTTGGATAAGCTAGATGTCAGAACTTATGAGTAATTTACACTTAACGTATGTCAAGGATCAGATAACAATCAGATGTGATTCAGCGTCCTCATAACTTATACAAAACTGACCCATAACTCATCCAACGTATGCCAGCGTTTTTGCCAGATTTTTCATACGTTTGGCATATGCTGTCTAAATCGTCAAGGTGTGACGGGGCTTAACGTTGGTTCAAGGAGAGCTGTTGCTCCTCTGCATCTTGAAAAGGCATTTGAGGTTGTTGTGGCATCAGATTAGACTATTATTAGTATTAACTATTATTAATGAGACATGTCCCATTAGGAAACCACCCAAAGGCACATCTGAAAACTGCACTGATCAGGCATGTAATCACCAACTGCTTTATGGTGTGTGGTCCCACTTTTAGGCATCATTGTGGTGAAAGAAATCCTAACCCTCAGGGAATTCCTTTCCCACAAAACTGAGTATATAGTAAAGTTGTTTGTGTTGCTGTTACATCCAGATGCATGGTAGGAACAAGGAACCACCAGCAAGACTTTGCCTATCGAAGCAACGTTCTTCTATATCATCCATTAGACCAGAGGTCACGGATTAGCGGACCTCAATCTGGATCCGGACCCAGCTGCTGGATAATCCAGAGCCAACCTGATTTAAAACATTTATAAATTACTGCATGTTGTCCGACAACATTGTTGCCGGATGCTGGGAAAGAAGGAGAAGACGATGAGAAAAACAGAGCAGAGAAAGTGTGGACTGCTGGAAGAAGTGCGGTGACAGAAACGTGCAATGGTGTGCTCAAAGATGACCCTGCACATTTTGAGTATGTGTGGCTCAACCTACTGCTGTGAAGCAGGATTCTCCACCATGAATATAATCAAAACTTAATATTGATTTAGGCGCATGAATGAGCACCTTGATATGTGCTTTAGAATGGCTTTGTCTCCATTCAAACCCAGGTTTAAAGCCTTGCAGGTTAGCCTAAAGCCCACTGCTGTCATTAAGCCATAAAAAAGAACGAAAAGAATAACAAACTGTCAGTTCAGGTGTTTTATAAAATATGTGAATCAGGAAATTGTCTATATTCTGTTTAAAGTAACAGATTATAATCAAAAATGTCTCTCGACCTTTACTGGTTGCTGATTTTCTTTATACTCTCTTTGATTCAGAGAGTTCTAAAGTTTATAACTGTTTTCGGTGCTCCGGGTGCTTTTACAGGGTTAGTACATGCCTGCAGATTGGTCTGTGACCCAATAAATTCCAACCTGCAACAAAATGCCTATTTTTGACACCTTTTGTTGGTCTCAGAATACAATAAGGCGGGTGGTCAAAGAACAAGATTTAAGCCGCTCTTTCCTCAGGATTGGACCATAATACCACAACTCCATTCCTTCTTTAGGCTCAATTTCTTGCTTTTGTCCAATTTTACCCATTCCAAAATGCTCACTTGCTGACTAATATATTCCACCTACTAATAGGAGTGCATAAAGTTAAGTCTGCCTCTTGTATCCTGGCTCTAGCCAAGGTGTTCGCCAGAACAGGCTGGAATGTGTTGTTGGGAAACAGGATGTCTGCATTTCCCTCTTGAACCTGTTATCCTGTGATCCAACACGGAAAACACTTAAGACAATGGGTGATGAGTAATGAAATATTGAATGTCTATTTTAATCAAAGGCACTACATGCTGTATACAGTAAAGTGGATTTATTGGTTGTTGTTTTTTGGATCGACTACTTTTCCTATCAGCTTCTACTTTTTTACATTAGAATGCTTAAAAAGAAAAATACTTTAAAAGGGAAGAATAACAAAGTAACAATAAGTACTTCCAACCGTGTAGTGCCACAAAAAAACGGCTATTGCTCCAGATGAGGTAATAACACACTTAGCTAAAAGCATTGCACTCTGTTTTTATTCATCTATTGGCAGCATGAGTTTTGGGAAAACGATCCACTTCTTGTGCGAACAGAGTATTTCAGGTTAAAGTACAGTTTAAAGTGTTCATTATCACCACCTAATGTAAAATCAGTAAACCACAAAAAGCCACTATTCAGCCTTGAGAGTTTTTAAACGCTTATTCTAAAAGCTGAGAAAATTAAAACTTTCTTCTTCAAGGATTTTTGAAGCAAGTTTGTAAAGAACAACTTAGGTCACTTTGAAACCCTGTTGACTCTCTATGAGTTGATTTTTCTAGCTGCAATCAAAAACCTTGTACCATTATTACTGTTTGTGTAACACATGTTTAATTGCGAAGAGATTAATATTGCTGAAAGGGCTGAACATCCAAAGCAGCTCAGTGGAAAAAGTTAGTACTTCTCTAATTCATTGCAGTTTCTACTGGGACCAACAGGTAAACAGTCCAATGTTGAAGGCTGATTATAAAATGCTTTCACACTGTAATATGTCTGTCTGTCTGTCTCTCTAGTATAATAAATGAAGATTAAATGATTACCCTCTGATTTTAATATCATATACACTGATGGCAGCAGACTGGAGGTGATTCCTGGTAAAATGTCAAGCTCTGCACACTTTATCCACTGAAATTAGACCGACAAGAAGGATGATTTTAACCAGAAATATAGATTCTGCTTTGTGACTGTTCTGTTACCTGAGCAGTTACAGAGTTCAGAGATGTCTGACTTTTGATGCTTGCGTAAGGAGAAGAAACAAATCACCCAAGATCCATGGAATCTTCTTACAATTTGTGCCGTTTTTTATGAAGACCGTGATCAACCATACCATTTAAACCACAGATAAAGTGAAGAATATCATTCATTGGGAAACCTTAGCATAAAATAGTTACCTAGTGCTTACAACATTCCTTCTGTGATCTAACAGAGAAAAATTGAACTTCATATATATTTAATGATGAAGCATTGCTGTCTTTTACTTGAACATAATATCAACATCAAAACTTTAGTTTCAAAGCTCTATTTCAAAGTTAACTTTATGGTACTCTGATCTCAAAATTTTTGTAGAGACTTTTAACAGAAATCATAAAAGAGATCTGCAGACCAGCAGAAGCCTTTTTGAAATGGTAATTTCAAAACAACAACAATTCACATAATTTCAATATGTTCATCCCAAACTAAAGCGAATGTTAGATTACTCCATAAAAACTACACATATAATAAATATCATAGTCCACTTTGCCTTGTGACAATAATCAGCTTGTCTAACATAAACCACTCACTATGAGATATTCATAAAAAGGTAAAGACATAACCTCAGCCATGCATACAGTATGAATAGAAACATCTGGGATGGTTAAGTATTTATAAATGTCACAATATGAAATCAGCATGTGTGAGGTGTAGGGTACAAAAATCCAATAAGTTAATGATATTCTAGCCTAAACAACAAAAGCAAGCCTTAACACTTCTCACTCCCTCAGTGTCTTCATTAGAGTGTATTCTAATATAAATAATAAAATGTAAATTATTATAGGCTGCTCATTGGAACAGTGGGTAGCACAGCAGACTTTCCAACAAGAAGGTTCTTGGTTCAATTCACAGCCCAGATTCTTTCAGCATGGAGTTTGAATGTTCTCCCTGTGCATGCATGGGTTCCATCTGGGTACTCCAGCTTCCTCCCACAGTCCAAAAACTGACTGACTGTTTGGTTAATTAGCCTTTCTAAATTCTCCTTAGGTGTGAATGTGTATAGGAATTGTTGTTTGTCCTTTTTGTCTCTGTGTTGCCCTGTGATGGACTGGCGACCTGTCCAGGGTGTACCTCGTCTACCGCCCATAGACAGCTGGAGATAGGCACCAGCAACCCTCGTGACCGCTCTTGGGATTAACGTGACGGAAAATGGATGAATGGGTATATTATTATTAAGAAACTGCAAAAAACCTGAAGTGAACTTAAACTGTCCTATTTGGGCAATAATATATATATATATATATATATATATATATAGAATGTTAAGACATAGGTTGATCAATGTGGTTGATAGTAACATGAACGATTGGGTAAAAAAAAATTTAAAATGGAAAACAGTCAAAGCTATGATAAAATAACCTAACAACAGATTGAAACAGAAATGTAACCGTTCTTCTCTCATACAGTATTTTTGGTACATGGTACCTTGGGAAAATCTTACTTTGCAAAGATACTTCCCAATTAAATAAATCCTCACACATCCCTTAAATTACAGTCTTTTCCGCTTTGAAGCGAGGCACCATTTTCAATTTGTTGCAGGGCAAATGTGTAGCTCAAAGGCAGTGGGGTGTCTGCAAAATTTAGCCAGGCTGAGATGAAGCAGAGGAAGCAGCAGCTCTCAGAGAGTGGAGGATGTGTTTGTGCATAATGAAGCGTTCGTAGGATGGTGAAGGATCATCCGCAGGGACTCGAGTTTCCTTATATGTCGGGAATCTTTGTGATTGACACCAGCTGAGCTTGTTCCTCCTGCCTCTTTCTGCTTTTTCCCATTAATGAGCCTTGGCAGAGCTTATAAAGGATTTAAATAGATCAAATCAGATGCAGATAACTGGTGGATAGATCATAGAGAATAGGGTATCAGAGAGGAGATGCTTTGTGATACGAGTGCCAGGGGGTAATCGGGATGGGTGACTGATGAAGGAGGAATGAATTACAGAGCTGCAGGTACAGATGTAGACTGTGTATTGCAAAGCAAAAGACACATCTGAAAGTATAAAGGTGGTCTAATCATTCATGCATGCATTATTGGTCCTTGATTTTAATGAAATGAGGATTAAGGTTGCTTTTCTTAAGAAGAGCTTCAGGGAGAGTTAACAGCTGGTGTTTGTGCCTAAGAATCATTTAAGCAAACCCAGGTAACAGAACCCTGACATTTCTAAGTCGACACCAAATACTTTTTCTGCTAATTTAAGATTTTTCAGTAAAATAAGTTGGCAAAACAACAAAAACATTTGTTTTTATTTCCAATCCTATTATATAATTATCATTCCACGCTCTACCCATCCACCCATGTCTAGATTTCTTGGAATAAAAACATGATTTATAACATTCTTTATTTTAGGTTTAATAAATATAATGCACACCCAATAGAAAACAAATTAATGATATAGTTTACACTAATGGGCCTTTAGATGTATGTACTTGGCGGGATGAATTCTTCTCTTAAGAAGACTTAAACAGCTGATGTAACTAAAGCTCTCTGCCTCTTTTTAATTCTGGACATATTCCAGACAGTTGTTTCTTTGTCAAGATGAATGGATATTCTTTGGCTTTAGCCCCTCTGGAATTCCTCAAGGACGAGTCCTTGGCCCCAATATGTTCCATGAATGTTTCCCATGGGTTATACCATTACTTAAAGCAACAGTAAGTACATTTTGACCTAAGTTTTAACCTAATTTGGGCTATTATTAAATACTTTTTTTGGACAATTTGTAGCATACGATGCATAATGATGCTCCATGTGGGCTTGATAGGGTCGGATCCATCGCTAGCTTCACCCAGGGGCTAAACATTACACAGTGTTTAACATAATAATTTATTTTGTTTCTATTCTGATTGGAATTTTTTTATTTTATTTATTTTTTTCGCTTCCAAAAACAAAATGTTGTGAAGCATCACTGAGGTTATTTTTTAATATTTAATCTTTCAAGACCATGCCATGGTACGCTTATCCTTGGCATGGCTCTATCCTTTTTCAATGTATTAAACAAAAGAAACAAAAAAAAGGACAAAAAGAAAGTAAGAAAAGATGAGGATTTAGGCTGCACTCATATGTCTTGTTTGGGAGTAAATATAAATTAGAACTGTATCTTTTGACTAAAGAGCACGATATTAGCACCTGTCTATTTAATGAAACTTTTGAATCGCCAGACTTTAATAAGAAGAACTAAATGCTCTCATCTGCCCTTCAAAATACACACTAAAAGAACAGTGATGGTGCCTTTACTTTACTTATGCAACATTTAATTATTTGATACAAGTTTATTGAGTAAATGTAGATTAGGCTTGTCCCGATCCGATCCGTGGATCGGATGCCGATATTGGCAAAAAAATGCGTATCGGCAAAGCATGTAAAAATGCCGATCCAGACTGCCGATCCAGTTTAAAAAAAAAACTCTGGTCCGTATTTTCCAGTTTCGCCGAATGAAACAATCCATTCCACTATTTTGCGCCAGTGTTCCCCGAATCCGGTCCGCATTTTCCAGAACACCTTCAAAACACCCACAGGTCTCTTTGGGTCTGTCTCCCGGCCTAACCATTAAAACAGGTGAATTGGAAGATAGCGGGGAAAATGTCAGCCGTGTGGGATTATTTTATCCTGCACGATGTGTAGATGGAGACTAGGTGTGGAGGACATTGGGGAGTATAAGGCATTTTTGTGTAACTATTATTTGCACTGATTTTTTTTAAGCAGTGTCTTTTTTCAAGAGTAGAGTCCTGATTCTAAGTTAATAGACTATTTTCCACTCTTGTCTGTTTTGCATTTTTATTAAAACTTACAGTAATATAGCACCTTTAACTGTTTACGGTTTTACTGTTCACTGTGCAATATTAGATTGCTATTCATAATATTTTCCAGTTTGTGTTTATCTCTTAATAAACAGGTAAGCTTGTTGTTACCAATCATTGTGTTTTATTCAATCTCACCTAATTCAGCTGGCTAGATATTATCAAGAGTACTAAACCCTTTTCAACACGAGTCTTACAACTAAGGCTAAATACTTTAACTTAAACTTAAATAAATGCTTGGATAGGCTGGTATCGGCCAGTATCGGTATCGGATCGGAAGTCCAAAAACAATATCGGTATCGGATCGGAAGTGCAAAAACCTGGATCGGGACATCTCTAATGTAGATGAATCTTTCTCAATTTATAATGCTTTCGATGCTTTTTTATTACTTTAGACATATATGGTCTGTTTCACTTCATACACATAAAGCGTTTTTCTCTCTCTTTCCCTCACTGAAGCCTGAAAAGTGAACTTTTAATTGATCATTTAAAAGTGGTTAAAGAGGACAGAGAGAAAAATATCTGAACCAAATATGTTCTTTAAGGCATAACATCTGATTTTATTGTCACACAGACACTAAGATATTCCTAAACAAGCATGTTGGCCCTCTCACATCTGAATGTTTTACACACATACACTTCTTACATTGAAAAAGTGATTGCACCCTTGGGTTTGCCTCTCAAGCCAATTAGCGCTAATAAATCCTATCGCAGCAGAATGGGAAGCTGTGCCTGGCTGGGATTTTCACCCTATCGTTACCCTCTTATCTCCCAGCTCCCATTTTGAGCAAACCTACGCACACACGGGAGCGGACATCGTTTTAATAAGCAGCACATGGGGAAGGTGACCTGCATTGTGGGGAGAGGCATATTAATTCTGGTCACTTATTTATGGCTAAAAAAAACAGAATTAATCCAAAAATTTGCTAGATTTATTGTATTTAATGGTATGGATGAGATTTCAGAGCAATTTGCACACTAATCAGAGAGACAACCTAAAGCTTCAGAGACGGTGCTAAAAAGAGGTTCAAGTTACGCACAAGCAGACACACACAAAGAGCACTCGGCCTAGGGGACTTGTGAATGAGATGTCAGCATAGTTGGCTAGCGTTGCTCCTAAGCCCTGAGAAAAGCAGAAAACAAATGTGCAATGATATAGAAATAACAACCGTGGAATATGTCAAGGGTGAGAAAGGCCAGCCAAGCATATCTTTGGCGCCCTTATTTTGGGCTTTTCTCCCTGTGTTTCTGTCTGCATAGTTCAGGAAGATTGTCAGTTGTTGCTGTGCAGGGTGGGACGGTTTCATTACAGGTGATTCACCACCATGCAACCTGATCAGTGGACATCAGAGAAAGAGGAGGAGGTACAGTACATACAGAAGCATCCATCCCTTGTCCGAGAATTTCCCTTTCAGAAAACATTTTTGTCAACATCTATTTAAATATTTTAGATACATATTTTTTCTTTAATTTTAAATGTCGGCTTTACTAGAATTTGATTTATTTTGGTTTAAACAATTAAAGACTGGAGGTGTAGTTATCCTGCCACCAATCAACTGTGCCTGCCAAACGTTTTGCACAAAAAATTAAGTCTGAAGCTACCCTACTGTATCTGTGGATATAGAAATTAAACAGTTAGATATGTACATATATTCCTTCATGAATCTGTGACCTTGAAAAGCACAGCTTTAAATCTACTTCTGAATGACTTAAATGATCAATCAACAGTTTACTACACATAATCTATTTGAAATCCAGTGGCATGACTTTAAAGATGCCTTTATAACCAGTCATGTTGTTAAAATTTCTCAAATGTTAAGGATGTAAAAAACACCTTAATATCTTTTCCATGGCTGGCTGTTAAAACAAAGCCTGAGCAATAATAAGATTTATGAAAACGAATAAAACAGAGACTTTTTTTTTTTCCAGAGGCATTTGGAATATAAAAATGTACTAAAAATAAATGACTCATAAAAGGTGGATTATTTAGGGAGTCTTGTAGATCGTTAAGATGAAGATACTGTAAAACTGATCTGATAAAACAGATTTGAAGTTGTAAAAGATGGAAACACTGAAACATGCTGAAGAAAAAAAGCAAAGATCATGGGTAAAATGGTCAATATGGTGTTTGCATGGTCATCTGGTGGTTTCATGCTTATCATGTTATTAAATTGTCACTCTACTCACCGCAGAGGTTTCCTTCATCGTCTTTGCGTGGACAGTCTGCACTGAAGTCACAGAGTTTGTCCAGAGGGATTGCTGGGCCCTGGTAACAGTGGTACTGTCCCTCTAGGGTGATGTTTGGGCCAGGTGAGGAAGCTGGAATAAAGAGGAAGAGCAAAACTTGGTTAAGAATGAGTGTTTTCACAGTGCAGTCACGCATGAGTAAACCACCCGCTTGTAATGTAAGCACAACACACTGCAAAGCTGATGCTTAATTTTGTTTTCAGAACATCTCTGAGAGATTTAATGCATTAAGTTAGATAGAAAACTTAAGTCTGCAGCTCAGAGAAAGAACAACAAACAGAAAAGTTAAGTTAAAAGTGGCCAAATCAGAGTTTGTAAAAAGGTCAATATAACCTGTGACATCTGCAGACTGTATGCGCCGTCATAAATAACCTGAGGCAGGCAGCATAAACTGTGAATACAGTACTCATCCATCAGGGGAGGGACACAGGCAGTGAAAACTATGACCTAGTTGCCGTTGGCTGGCTTCACACATAGTGCAAGCTCACACGGGTACAATTGATATCACCTGTCTCAGCAGCTCAATTGTCACCAGGTGCATTTGCATATCTATGCAAATCAGAGAGCTGATATCTGGAAACTGACTGTTCACCTTCACCTTAATCACCAGAAACTGATCAGAGGAAAAAAAAAACCAAGAGAGTAGGGAACTACAGCATAAAGCACTGATGAAGATCTTGTTTGTTTCCATCTGTCACAAAGAAAAAAAAAGGGGAAGTGATTATTATCACAAGTGGCTGGCTGCTCTCTCTGTACTCTGCCCTTGATCTATAATATGCAGATTTGTTCTCTGGTCGGGCGAAGCTGTCGAAAGTCTGATAACAATCTCCATTCCATGGAGGCAAATGTAGAGCGATCGGTGCTAGCTGTATGAACAAGATACGCAGGAACCACATAATGAATTTCTTCCTGACATTTGTAATTAATGTAGTTTTTTACTACAGATTAACTAGACGTAAAACGTCATGTTTGCTAAAATCGTATTTTAAAAGTTAAAACTCAATTATCATGTTGGGACACCCAAACCTTAACCAGCTGATGATTTAATTTGAGGATGATGAATTTTTGGTCAGTCATCCCTCTCCATCAGTACATAACTGTGCAATACAACAGTAAGAGTTATAGTAAAACAGTCCCACAGCATGATGCTGTCATTACCATGTTTCACAGATGGTGCCATGTTCACACTGGATTTTTCAAACATTGTGGCCAATCAAGCATACTATTTATCTCTTCTGAACATAAAACCTTTCTTACAAAAGCATTAAGCTCCATGTCTGCAGCTGCAAATTTTGTTGTAATTTAAAGCACAGGGTTTTTTGTTCTCTTGCACAACACACTTAGTTTATTTTAGTTTGCAACTTTGGTTCCAGCAGCTTATAGTTTATGAGAGACTAATTTCTTGATCTTTATAGGCTGCTCCTGAACATCCTGACTGATTTCCTTTCATTTAAGGGTAATAGTTTGGGTCCAGATGTTGAAAAAGTGTTGAGGTTACATATTAAGATTGGTCAAGTAGGAGTACATGCATTTTATTTTATTTTTGAAGGTAGGCAAACACGAAATGGGATCATAGAAAGGGAGAAGTCATGCAGCAAAGGTCATCAGGCCAGGACGTGAAACTGTGACTACCCACTTTCAGGACCAAAGCCTCTGTTCATGGTCATGCTTAACCCCATGCAGCACCACTGTGATTGAAAATATGCACAGATGGAAAGACTCGTAGTTTACTTGGATCTTCATCAGGATTAAAAGCTGATGGTCCGGCGAGATTGAAATGACCTAACTGTGTTTCAGTTTGAACACATACGACAGTGAACGAGATATTTGCGTTTCCACAGTTTTACATGCATACAGTATGACCTTTAAAATGGCAATTCTAATAAGCATAGTGTCTATGATTGTAATGAAAATCTGTTTTGCATCATATGCACTAAGTTACTGTATGTTCCTAGTTTATGTGCAGTATTGCTTCAATAACGCCCCATGCTATTCTCTCTGAAAAAGTACAACAGAAAATGTTTTTTCTGATTAAAAAAACATCTCTGCATAGTTTTAAATAGTATTTTATTAGGGTGTTACGGGGGTTATCGAGGGTAGGGAGGCTTTGATCCTTGATGCAGTCGATGCAGCTTGATGTCCTTTGCTGTATATCCTCACCCCTCTCTCTTTTCCCATTTCCTGTCTCCCTACTTAAAAAAATAAAGGCCACTGCAACTTAAAAAATAAAACTCTGTGCAAAATATTTGACATAAAAAGAATGCCAAAATAACATCAATATTATTGTTGTGAATTTTCAAAAAGCTTGATATTGAAATGATTCAAAAAATGACATCGATTAAATCATTTGAAGTAATCTTTGACTGTAACTGTAGATTAAGGACAACACTTTGGGATGAAAATTATAATTTTTTATGTTGTTTATGTACAGCAAGCAGAAAACACAAGTGTGGAAGATACACAGTAAATATCCAATGATGTATCATAAATGGCGGCCTTGAGATCTAATAGCATCAAGATATATGGGGTGCTCGCTCAACTGCTTCAACACGGGGCACCTTCCTTAAATTACTTCTATCTGTTGATCTTCAGGATTTGTTTCAGCTTAATAAAGTTTAAATTAAGCAATAGCCAAATATTAGATAGTTTACTTTTTGGCGGAAAAAAACTTAGGTGGAAACTTGAAATTAATTTTGGCAACATTATCTTAAAAGGATAAAATATACCCTTGTACAGAAAGTAGTATGTATTTACCGGCGTCTCACAGTTATGGCTCTTTCTCAGCTCAATCTAGACTCTTTTTCTTTTGTGGCGAGTGTGGCCGAGAAGCATTAGCACCCACTTGAAAAGTGACACACCCGTTGATGGATTAAAACAAGATTTTTTTTATTTTTTTGGGGGGTAGAAAAACACATTAGTTGGACGCCTCCCACGGCCCTCTGCTGTGCCAGGACCTCTATGGCTGCAAAAAGCTACTTTAACATGTCAGTGAATGATCCACTTCAAAATCTTTTTAAAATTAGACAGTGTGAATGACTGTGCTGATGGATACTCTATTATATAATCACATAGAAAACAGCCGCATTTGACTCTTTTTGAAAACTGTGCTTAAAAAAACTGCATCAATGACATTTGAAATGGACAGAAAAATATACAGCTTGATTTGAATTAGTTCAGGAGGAGCTTTGTTTTAAACGGCAAAGTGTTCAGGTAAAGATGTGGTTTTACTACAAGATCTAAGCCATGCATTGGTCCTGCACAGCAGCTTCCGCTTTGTATAAACTTGGTACATCAAACAAAACTATTTATCAAAAAAAGGAATTAGGAAAGTTACCCAGAGTGAACCAAAACCTTTGGGCATTTGATTTAAATTCATGGATTTATCTTAGTTTGATGATGGGGGAGTAGTACGTGTAAAAAGGATGATGTGGCCAACTTTAAGCTCCCTGAAGCAGGTAAACGCAGTCAGACATGGCCGCTACATTGCGTGCAGAGTGCAGTTCTTAAATCACACTTGTCAGATTGTGAAAACAAGTGGGTCAGTGGGGGATGAATTGCCTGTGGGATCAAGAGAGTTTTGTTATCTTTGTGTTCATGGGGTTGCTTTGGGCTTGGTGAGGAGGATGATGTATGAGAGCAGAGGAGCTGGAGCATCTGCTGTTCAAACAGATACACAAACAGAAGAGTGAGAGTTTGATAGAGTTACATGTTTAAATATTCACGTTTTGTAACTTTAAACAATAAAAAAACATCTTTTACAGAGTGGAAAATATTTCTAAAAGTGTTTATCTGCGCAGAGTAGCTCATAAAAAAACAGGTCTTGCACTGGGAAGCTGTATTTTTCAAAACTGTTTCTAGAAAAGGCTGAACAGGTGTTGTTGGAGTTTATTACAAACAATGATGTAATTCATGCAGATTTTATGTGACAGGGCAAAGTCATGCATAATTATGAAGTCGGAGGAAAAGGATGTTATAGATAAGAATGCAAAAAGTGTGCCATACATTCTTTTCCTGCAGATTTACAACCCTTAAATTAACTCATCATTGAACCTCAGTAGGAAAGCGGCTGTTTTATGATGGCCTCAGAGGTTCGGTAGAAAACATCAAACAAACAGCATCGTGAAGGAACGCTGCAAATAGGTTTGAGGCAAAGAAGAAGTTTAAAGGAGCGTAGAGTTCCAAAACATTATCTTCCGTTTTGGACAACTCAAATTTCTTTTGTTATTCAAGTGTACACAAACAAGGAAGTTGACTTTGGATTGCAAAAAGACTAGTACGACTCTAAATCTACCATGGGAAGGAGAGTTTTGTTCTGAAAAGAGGTCCTGCTATAGATATGAACGCGCTCAAATTCCATTTTTCAGCCTACATTCAGACTATCATACAAGGGAAACTAACAGCATGTTACCTTTAGACCAAATATTCCCAAGGTGAGGAAGGAGGGTGCAGAGCTATGAATGCGGCTGGCTAGTTCAATTGCTAAATCACCCCGACTCACACACAGGAGTCCCTGGGTTTGACTCCCCGCTGTGGGGGGATGAGCTGCCAGTGTGGGTCCTTAGGCAAAACCCTTCACACTCCTTACTTTTTAAGTCACTTTGGAAAAAAGCTGATTGCATAAACAGTAACTATCAAAATGCTTAAATAACCTAACATATACAGATGCTGTCTAAGAGCAGCTTGTAAAATGTGTGCACATTCGAAAATTTTTTAGAGACTTAGACGAGAAGCTGGGAGACCAAATACTAATGCACAAAAAAATTTTTGATTCTTATTTGTCTGTCATTCTAGCTCAACATGCTAATTTTTAAATTATACCTATGTTGAAGCTTTAATAGAACCTTTCAAGGTAAAACAAAACAAACCAACAAAAACACCTTTGGATCAAACTGTTCAGAAGCAAGAAAATATTAAAAAACAGAAGTCTCTTTATACAGTTTTGCCGTGCTTAGGATGTTTCTCTTGCTCCTAACACCTGATTCTAAAAGTTAAACTACCTTCTCATCTGGTCATCATTTCAGCCTGCAAAGGTCTATAATGAGCCGTTCAATGATTTCAGAGCAGGATTGGGA